ATTTTATTCTTATGACTTGCTGATTCCACCAGCAACTGCCCTAGGGGTGCAGTTCTAATCAATGGTTTATCCACTTGGCAATCTATACCTCAGAAACACAAATTGGAAAAAAACATCGATGTGTAAAGGAGACCTATAAATCAGAATGTCAGGTGGGCATAGTTCCATTTTAATAACTAGTATTTAGAGATTATTGGATAAAATATTCCATGGGCACAAATTTATGGCCTTCATATCCCTCCAGGATGCTACCACATCCCTGCAGGAATAGGACATTCTTTGCTATTTTTGTCTAACAACAGGAATGATAAGTTTGTGGCAGGAAAACAAGCTGCTGGTGTCTCTCTCCATATTCAAGCTTTTTAAATGACTTAAGGCCGATTTCCTTTTCTAACAGACATGAGATCTTTCTACTCCTAAGTGTGCAAATGTATATGTGTGCAGAGAAGATGTGTTCGCGATCACATGCTTCCTCCCAAGAAGCACCCAGTATGTCGGCAAGTTTCACTGCGTGATATTTCCATGCACAACTGGGACTATTAGTTCACCAGAATCAATATAAATAGCAAACAAGCTGAGTACAAGGAAAAATGTTACTTCTCGGGAGTTCTTTCTATTCCTTTCTCCTTTATGCCACAAGCAGATCGGTCATACATGTTTGAAGAGTGCCGCTTAGTTTTCCCGTCCCTTGAAAAATCTCCTAAGGGTCCTAGTGAAAGGTCAGAACCAGGAATACCTGCATCGGTAGAGGCTCAAGACCTTTCTGAAAACAAAAGACAAATAACCAGCTGCTCCTCTGGGTTTCTACCAGGAAGAGCTGCCCAACAAGGCATCCCACAGGGACTCCTGTTGCCGTTTCAAGGAGCCACAAACCTTAAGTAGACAAATGGGTAACTAGAACAGGTAAACAGTGACAGAGTGTATACAAATCTCTGCCTTTGAAAGAGCAGTCACAAACATGATAGTAGTAAGCAGAAGGCAAGTGTGTCCCCTCACCTGTAATCATGTGAAATATCACATGTTTCTGTGAGGTGGGTGTGAGAGGGCCACACACAAGAGTGTTCGTGCCAGTGGGACTGGGCAGTTTGGAGAGAGGGCAGTTACACAAGATCCATTATCCGACGCTTAGTTTGAGTTTCCCCCACCACAACAACTACTTCATAGTCAAGTACCATGCATATGTCTTTCAAAAGAAGAGGGATTTTTGAAAAAGGCCAGTATTTTTCTGCTTCCAAACACGCATTTGGTAACGTGTGCTTAGACATTCACAAAGCCCTATAGAAAAAGAAAGGCCTGGGCTGCAGAGCACATGCCATAAGATGCCACCAGATAAACACTGTCTAGTAGACAGAACCTAAAATACTGCCTGAGTTATTCAAAGGGTAGCAGAAATGTCTCTGTGAGCCAAGAGGACATGGCTCACTTGTTTCCAGTTGCATAAAGACATGTCCAACTCATCCTGGATGGTCTCTGTTCCTCCTGAGTTGATTTCCATACTTGGCATTTAAGAGCTCTAGTATAAAAATTCCCCTAGAAGTTTACAAAAAGAGTTCAACTGATTGTTTTCCACCTTCTCTCCGTCTCCCCTCGTGCCCCTGTGTGGCCTGTATCTACCACAGATCACTCCTGACTCGATTTCTAGTACATGTTCCTCAAAGCTGTCCTCAAAAGGTATGTGATGAGAGAAAAAAGAATCTCAAGACCCTATGGTAATAATAAAAGTTCACATATAAGAAAAACTTCGTGAATTCTTTGAGAAGTACAGTTAATATACCTACCTGCGGTTTGGTTAAAGAAATGGAAGCTATCCCTTTTAATTCCTCAGACAGATAATAATACTATACAAACAGTACTCTGGTAACCAAGGTTTAATTTCATAGTTTTCTGCCTGAATCTCTGCTTCTTCACTGACTGCTTCCTTCACTGAAGACTTTTAATAACAGTTTAGTTTCTTCCTTTCCTGTAAGCAATCTCAAGGCTTCCAAACCTTTGTCCATCCCCTGAAGTTTTGCTTGAGTCCTAACTCCAGAGTCTTAAACACCAAAGTCCTAACTTTCTATCCATATCACTAATACTCATCCACTGAAAATTCATCCTTTCCTTTGAAAAGAGATCACGATTCCCTCTAGGCTTCAAGTTCTGGTTTCTCTGGCAACACTGGCATTCAACAAACAAAGGAACTAAGCCCATTCCTTTTAGTCCTCAAGCTTGCCCAGTAGATCTTCAGTCCCCACTCTAAACACCTTCAGGGCTTCTTAGAAAGCTACTTTGTCACCAGTGTGTTCAGTTACCAATCAGATGTTGAGCTTCAAGTGTTCAGACACCGTGGTGAACACTGTTTTTCTACTTTGTCTTTTGTACTGTACCTGGCTTTCAAACTGGAAGGATGTAAAGAGAGCTTTGGGAAACAGAATATGTAATGTCTTCTAACAAGGAATCCAACAAGACTTTCTGCTTTTTATATCTACCCATGACTCTCTCCTTATCTTAATCAATTGATGGAAAGGATCGAGTATGAGTGAATAAGGATCCTATACAAGTGAATATAACAGAGATAAAGAGCTATGTGTCTTCAAAGAGTTATCATTATTATGATATCCAGTGATTAAAAATAATTACTCTTTTGAAAGTGTCTCTATAGAACTAAAACTTTGTTCATTTATTCTTTGTATTAAGAAGACAAAAAATAAACAGTAAAATCTGGGCAAATGGCTTCCACCTATAATTTTAGCTACTCAGGAGACTAAGATCTGAGAATCATGGTTCTAAGTGAACACAGACAAATAGTCAAAGCTTTCATATCCAGTTAACCAGTAAAAAGCCAATCATAAAGATATGATTCAAGTGGTAAAGCACCAGCCTTGAGGGAACAAGCCAAGTAAAAGTGCAAGCCCCAGCCGGGCACCAGTGGCTCATGCCTGTAATCCTAGCTACTCAGGAGGCTGAGATCTGAGGATCTCAGTTCAAAGCCAGCCCGAGCAGGAAAGTCCATGAGACTCTTATTCCAATAAACCACTAGAAAACGGGAAGTGGCACTGTGGCTCAAGAGGTAGCGCACTCACCTTAAGCTGAAGAGCTCAAAGACAGTGCCCAAGCCCAGAGTTCAAGCCCCATGACTGACAAACAATAATAATAATAATAATAAATAAATAAAGAGTGCAAGCCCTGAGTTCAAGCCTCTGTACCAGCACACAAGCTACCTTCACACACACACACACACACACACACACTAACATTCAGTCTCCAAATAATCTTTGTGCTTGTGCTGGTCCTGGGATTTGAACTCAGAGCCTAGGCATGGTCCCTGAGATCTTTCTGTTCGAGGATAGCACTCTACTGCTTGAGCCATAGCTCCAACTCTGGCTTTTTTTTTTTTTTGCTGGTTCATTGAAGATAACAGTCTCTGGAATTTCATGCCTGAATTGGTTTCAAACCATGATCTTCAGATCTTAACCTTTGGTTAGTTAGGATTATAGGTTTGAGCCACTGGCATAAACCAATTTTATTGGTAATTTTACTAGTTCAAAATTGCAAAAATGAGAAGGGAAGTTGTTAATGTTAGCATGGACTTTGTGTGAAGTTTAGAACCCAGCTAGACTTGAATTGGCTAGATGTGGTCATTTTATCAATCTGAAAGGGGATTGAGTAGCTGAAATAAAATCAAGTCCCCTTGATTCCCTGTTTACAGTGGTGGAGCTTTGAATCACCTTGGGTTCATCCAGAGTCCTGGTGGCCCTGGGAGCACATTTTGAAAGCTGCTAATCTACATGAAATCCTCTGGTTCATATTTGGAAGAAATGGAGACCCAAAGAGATTAAATTATTTGTTGAAGCTGTGCAGCCATTGATCACAGTACAGCAAAGACAGAGACTTGGGCCTCATGCCACAGGTTCCATCCTGGGCTGGAGGTTTTTTCAAGTGAAAATGTGATAGGCCCTTGCTGATGAGCTCTCATTTTCTAATACTTGTAAAACAGTATAAACATTAGAAAGGTCCTTAGGGTATGTGACCTACGACTGTCTTGACCACACTCTCCTCTCTGAGTAATGCTGCAGCCCGGTGCCCTTTGCCCTCTGGAGTGGAGTTCTCAGGCAGGGAGGAATACCACTGCCTGTGAGAGAGGCTGAAGGAGAGGTGTGTTCACAGTGGTGAGGAGGAGCAGCTTCCTGAGCCTCTCTCCTCACTCTGAATCAAATGTAGGCGCCCAAAGATTGCTGCCTGAAGATGCTCAGTTGGATAACAGAGTTTGGATGAGCTGTGCCTGAAAGCATACTTTCCCTTGCTACTACTCCACAAGGGACCCCCGGATCTCAGCTCCCTTGCTAGCTTCTACCGAGGTTATCTTGAGCCACCAGATCCCAGGAGCAGGCCCCAGGAGGACTAACCTTTGCTTCTTTATTCTAAAATGGTGCTATGCAATGAAAGAAATGTGTGTTTTACAGCAAATACTATGGTGGACCAAACCTTCCCTTCTAACACCGCCTGAATCAAGATGTTAACGTGATACTCTGCACAGAGGATTTCTCAGTTCTCTTCCCCTGGCCCTATTTCTATCTTCCAGCTTGACCTTCAGCACTCTTTTGCAGTGGAATTCTGTCAGGAGCTGAGCCCTCTGACCTTGGAGGAGGGAGGGAGGGAGAGAGAATGCACTGTATAATAACTCACTTTAGCTCCTTTATCTAGGCGCTTCCTGGTGTATCTGAGTCGCAGCCCACTTCCCCCTGCCTGCCACTGATAGAGCCTGCGCCAGCTACCCTTACGACATTCCCAGTAGGCAGATCTTGGCTTTATCCAGCCTAAGGGGAATGGCTCTGACCAATTTAGAACAAACGCTTCTTATTCTAGAAAAACAAGCCACACACATTTCCTATCTATCATTTCCACCTCCTCCTCCCCCACCAGAACCCAGACATGCACATTGAAGCTGGCCAGGACCATTTGTGAAGTCTACTATTAACACAAAAAACCAACGTTGTCCATCTTTTTCTTTTTTTCTTCAGGAAGAAAATGAGATCCCTGCCAATGTGTTTGTAAAAGAGCCGGTTTCCAGCCCGGCGGAAGGAAAGGAGGAGCTCGCAGACGAAAACAAGTCCCTGGAGGAAACGCTGCACGCGGTGGACCTCTCCTCGGATGATGAATTGGCCCATGAGGAGGCGGCGCTGGAAGACAGCGCAGAGGAGAAGACCGAAGAAAGTAGGGCAGAGAAAATCAAAAGATCCGGCCTCAGGAAGGTAGATAGCCTCAAGAAAGCATTTTCTCGCCAGAACATCGAGAAAAAGATGAACAAGCTAGGGACAAAGATCGTATCCGTAGAGAGGAGAGAGAAAATTAAGAAATCTCTCACTTCCAATCACCAGAAAACATCCTCAGGGAAAAGCTCCCCCTTCACTTTCGGGAGGAAGAAAGTCAGGGAAGGAGAAAGCCCGGTGGAAAATGACAGCAAGTCAGAAGACTTGGCAAGCAATGAGCAGTTACCCAATGACCACGAGGAGAGCTCTTTTACAGAGGGCCTTTCTGAAGCCTCTCTCCACAGCCCCCTGGCAGAGGGGAAGAACACAGGAGACCCCGAAAAGACGGCCTTGATGGGGAGTAAGTCAGGAACCGACAGCAACATCAACTTGACCATTATGGAAGATGAAGAAGAGGAATCGGTGGCCTTGGAACAGGCACACAGGGTGCGCCATGAGGGTGGCTATTCTCTAGCTTCTGAAGAAACAGAGCGGTCAGAGGAGGAACCCGTGCAGCCCGCTGTCCTCCAGGTGAACCAGACCACCTGAGCGCAGAAACCATGCGCCCAGCCCAGCCCCTGCTTTCGTGCAAGGGGCAGCCATCGCCTAGAAACGAATTTCTCCCCAAGTCCAGCACTGCCCACTCACTCTCTCACTGACCAAGCAGTAATCATGATCCATGTAGCAGCACCCTACACAGAAGAATCAAGAGCACATCTGTCAGGGGCTCCACTTTAAATTTGCATTCGATGTTTCTATAGAGTTTATCCAAAATTACCAGGAAGGGGGAGGGAGGGGATGGAGCAGTTGGAAAGCACTGATCCCTTTGGCTTAGTAAGAAAATCTAGAGGACACTTAAGATAGTCATCATGAAATGAAGTCATACACACACACACACACACACTTATGCTACTCCATTCACTTGCTGAATACTGTAAGTGAATTAGTGAACTTTTACAGTACTCTGTGAACTCTTACTCCCTATGTGTGAGCTATATAATATACGTAAGTATGTAAGCTAAAGACATAACCATATATGTTAAGATTACCATTTTCAAAAAGTAGAAGAGAATGATTTCACTTAGTAGAAGCCATTGTTTTATTTCATAGAAATTAGAACACTATGATAAGTAATGATACAAGCTATTAATTGAGTAAAGTCCAGTCTATTAGAACAGAAAAGTAACATGCAAAAGTTGACAAATAGGAGAAATGAGGAACAAAGAACATCAGAGAATGAAGTCAAAAGGAAAATAATAAGTGCTTACAAGTGAAATATTTTCAATATTAAGCTTAAGCTTGCCTATGTAAATCTTTAAAGAATATAAAGAAGTTCATATATCCTAGACTAGCATGTTTTATCTCTAACATTTTTATTTTTAATGTTTTAATATTATTTTAATAGCATAGCATTTTATAGTGCTAAAGCTGCATTGTTCTTAATAAGTGCATCACAAAAGTTTTCTTTAAGTTCAAAAGAATGTTGTCTTTTTAACACTGGGATGAGCATAAATCTCAATTGATGTTTACTATTCTCTGCATTTTCCCAAATTTGAAATAACTTTACACTTCAAATTATTTGATACCTGCTTATAAAATCTTTAAAAATCTACATATTTGGGGAGGAAATAATGCCATTTTCTCTTTATTTGTGCATAATAGTAATTTCATCCCAAGTCATATTTTATTTATGCATTAATTTCACAGAATATTAATGTTTTAAACTTTTTAAAGCATGCTAGTGTTTTATGTTGTATACAGTTCATTCAGACAGGGTAATTTTTACTGCTGCCTAATATTATACTAAAATATTGCTTTATTTTTTAATTACAAAATGCTGTTTTCTTAAATGACAGTTCAAGATAATGGACCCAGAAAGTAAATTCTCTAGCTATAGTACAAACCATTGTATATAATCTTTCAAATAGAAGTAAGCCAAGATGACATTAACAAACTATGCTTTGTCTTTAACAAAAGGGAAACATCTTAAAAAATATATTGATGGTATAATCTATTCGGCTATGTCCTTATTTTGCAATAATGTAACCCCAATTATTGGATTGTTGAACTAACAATGGCTGTTAAAGAAGATTAAATAAACCAAGAGATAAAACGTATATAACAATGTCAGTATTTTTGGCAGAACAATTTTACAACAAGCAGAAAAAATTGATTTTAAACTCTCTTCCAGATATAGCAATAATGTTGATTGTTTCCGTCTTGATTTCCCCTACTAACTCTGCTTTCTTTTCTCCTGATCTCACTTAGAAATCCATCTCTCATTCTTCAATTTTCTTGACTTGACATCACCTTGCCAACTGTGGATACCATCTGAATTATGGCAGCAGCTTGATGAATTTGATAGTTCCATCTGCATTTTTATTATATCGTACCTGACTTTATAATACCTTAAATAGTTCTGCAAACATGAATTTATTGAATGGCACAATCAGTTTATTCACTCAGAAATACCTTTGTCTTCTGCAGTACTGCACATTGGGTGGAAGACTTAATTTCACCATAAGCCCAAAGCTCTTTGAGCTGTTTAACCTTCATGGAGTGACTGTCACTTCTTGCAGCCAAGTCACTGGAGCTAATGTAATGTTTACATTCCCTTTTCAAAACCGCATCGTCTGTTTGTTCCTACAAACTAGCTGCTTTGCCAGTGGAAAACTGCATCTTTTTAACTTTCACTGACAATCACATTTATTCTATGCCCCACATCTGAAGCATTAAAATCCTAAGCAATAAAACTGAGAATTAGGCTAGATAATTGTTGGGAAACACATACTGCAGGGATTAGGGAGAGCAGCAGTTGTGGAGATGGAAGCTATTTATTTTGTATTATTGTTGAATTATTTGCATACAGGGGAGATTACAAAGTCCCAAAATTAGATATGGCCTCCCCCCACCCATCTAGTAACCCAGACTTAGCTTTATGTGCCTAAAGATCAAGAACTCAACTCATTTTCCCTACAGATCAGTTAAACATTAATGAGGACTGAGATCCATATCTCTAAAATGCAATTCAGAAGTAAGACATGACATGGATCACAAATGGCACAGAAATACAGCAAAACTGTCATTTTTCTACAAGGGGGAATATAGATAGATAGATAGATAGATAGATAGATAGATAGATAGATAGATAGATAGATAGATAGATAGATAGATAGATTTCAACAGGAATATTTTATTCTTTCTACTTAGGAATCTAGTAGATGGCTAAATTGGTGGTTCTTTGTTTGCATGAAAATAAAAAGACCTGTGTTCAGATCAGGTCTATACAAACCAAAGACTTTAAAAGCTGTATTTACATTATGATAAAAGCCCACTGCTTTTAACAGTGGCCATCCAGAAGAGCAAAGTTTGACCCTCATGTGCCCTATCAGGAAACCAGCCAGAGTGCCAATGTAAGTAAAGGTTATAATGAAAGTCATTTCCTACATTAAGACACTAATGCCTGAGCCCAGTTAATTCCTGCTTGAAAGTTTGTTTACTGCCCTACAGCCCAAATCTAAGTGATTTTATGTTGGAGCTTGAGAGTATGAAGAATTGAGGTACAGACAGCAATCGTTATTAACAGTTCCATAGCAACCACAAGTCTTTCCCTAAAAGCCGACTCTAGCCCCGCAGAACAAGTTGCAGATGAAATTGGCATCATGACCTTTGTATTCTGCTTGATCCAGGCATCTCGATAAAGACTTCTACAGCCAGGAACTCATTCCTGAAGGGAATCAGCAGTAAACCCACACCATTAAACATACTTTCTTATTTTTGTTTTAACCATTGCATTATCTGGCAGCATTTTAACTTTAAAATTATTTTTCATCCTTCACACAAGCTGCCCCAATTAAGAAGTCACACCTTTATCAAGGCAGCTTGATGTTCATATATTTATATACTTTCTACTGTAAAAATCAATTTCTTAAATATTTATGGTCCTCTGTGAGACTTGTAGTGTTCAAAGCAGTTAAGATACAGCATGAAGGAAAAGAAAGCAATTTAATGAGGTTTGAACTAAAGGCATCTTACCTGCTTGGCTTGCTCGATACGGGTTTGGACAGTGTTCTACCACTTGAGTCACACCATCAGCCCAGACTCTTGCTGGTTATTTTGGAGATAGACTATCATAGACTTTCTTCACTGACTGGCTTTGAAACCCAGTCCTTTGAATCTCAGCCTCCGGAGTAGCTAGAATTACAAGTGTAAGCCACCAGCCTCCAGTGATAGAGAGTTCTCACTCATAATGTTTTAAGTACATAAATCTTGTCCTACTCGATGTCTATGGCATTTGATTCTAAGTACATCCATGCTATAGATATTAAGATCCAAGGGTGGCATGGCTTTTGCAAAAAACCCATCCACAAAATCCTTATACTTCAAATCATCTTTAGATTACTATTATCTAATACAATGCACACAGTTCATAAATAGTTCTTAATGATGTGCTGCCTATGAAATGATTATAAAGAAAAACGTCTGTGCATGCTTAGTACAAGCGAACATTTCCCCTAATTATTTTCAATCTATAGTTGAACCCACAGATGCGGAACTACAGATACAGAGAGCTAGATATGGTTTTCTTGTGAGATTCACAGAGATAAGAAACTTACCCAAGTTCACATAACTAGTTATTAGCAATGCCAATGTTCAATCCCCAACTAAAATCCATTCGGCCAAAACAGACTCCTAATTATCACACAACTGTGCTTTGGTTATGAATCCCTTTATCAGCTCTCAGATGATATATTAACTTCATGTTGTTGCCTCTTATACAGCATCACATACAGCTGCATTGATGATTGTCATTTCAATGCTTTGAAAACAAAAACAGGGCATGGCTTTTGGAGAGCCACAGAGAAACTATTTTTTTAGGTCTTCTAAGGCCACAGAGGGGCTCCTTAGCTCCTTGGTATCATTCATTTATCAGGGGCTGCAGGGTTCACTTTGGGGCAAGGTTTAATAAGAGAAAGCTGTCAACAGTGATAGATACTAGAATCTGCTCAATCAACAATGGCTCATGAGGTCTGCCTCTAACTCTGTTAAAGGAATCAGATCCCTGCATCATTCCAGTGAACAGTTACATCTGCTCAGACACATCCTCTCCTAGGCTAATATAAAGGGCAAATGAAAAATTAGCATGCAGTAGAAGTGATTCAGAAGTTTGGAAATAGGTGACCCAGAGTGTTAGGGGAATCTATCCTATTAATACAATCAGTGCACAATGATGCAGTTTTCTTCTCATGCAAAACAAACAGAAGATAGGTCAAGTGACTAGCCATTTTGGGGTCAAATGTATGGCCATGTCTCCATCTTTATGGGCAGGAAATCAAAGGAAACCCTCTAGGCCAGCCATCGTTCAAGAGGCACTCTGTAGGCAGTGACTTCCTCCAAAGACTTTGGCAGTGATCACAAAAAATTGCCCAAAAGGATTTAAGCATGAGTAAAATGGCACAAAGTGGTGGTGGCAGTTGTGGCAAAGCTTTACTGTGGCCTTTCTGATGGAGCACACTTAAAATTCATCTGCAAGGAGGCAAGGCTGTTTCCTAATCCCCAGAAAGGAAAGATATTGTCCTAGGAACCAACCCTGGTCATTACCCCAATCCACTCAACAATAATCACACTCCAGTTGCCATATGGGAAAGCAAGCCCAATGTTGCCAAAATCTAGACTTTTTTGTGAATGAGCCACACACTGCATTCCAGTTTCTGAGTTCTGGTCTGTAAAGCTGAAGGCTTTGCTGTTCTCTTTGTCATCTTGGAGGTCTAGACTCCAAGCCAGAATGCGACTAATAAGATCAATCTGTCTTAAGAAGCAGCAAAAAAAAAAAAAAAAAAAAAAAAAAAAAACCATTCTCGGGAAACATAAAATGTCAACACTTATAAGCCATTTTTCTCTTGCTGCTTACCAAGTTTATGAAAAATTGCTGTTAATGCTGCATAGTTAAAATACACTGAAAGTAGCCAACCCCACTGAGGTTATATGTTCTTTAGTGAACAAATACCACCCCCTGTCATTAGTATTGCCACCCACCTGTGGTTTACCTTCAGAACCTCTATATGTCAACAGGATTGGTAATTCTGCTTTGCTGAGCCTATGAATTGGCTCTCTCACTTCCTGTTTCATTGAAAAATATCTACCTTTGTCAATAATGTAGGGGCCTTATGGATGACAAAGCACAAGTCTATATTGTTTCTGTCATATATCATGGCAAAATTGCCAGCTAGCACACTCGTTTTTCAACTCTTCATTGTTGGTAATGAGGTACAAAAGGGAAAGAACACAACTCATTTTTTTGAATGCTAAATTGAGCCTTCAGATCTACTTGGGGAAAGGAACTGATAAGATTTAAGCACAGAATCAAGATACCCTTTGTTAATGAGAAATTTTTCATGTTTGCAACCTCTTGTAGCTCTAAAGAATCACAAGGCTTTGCTATGTCTCAAAGGTCCGAAGCCTATTGATGATCTCCCCAATGCTGATGGTATGCAGGGAAAGGCATGACTGAGCCCTTATTTGAAAAATCAAATTTCCTAAGGACTTTAGATCAGTAATTTTAGATCTCTACATAAAAAAGGCGCTCTTCTAAGATATACAGAGAATAGCAGTATCATAGATTTGGAGGTTGCCCCTGAAATTAACCAGATAAAGAGGTAAAGAAGTACTGCATCTATGATGTCACTACAATCTTCAGTCTACTGTAATTGTTTGGATATGAAATGTCCGCTCTACATTTTACATTAGAGGCTGGGTCCCAGTTGGTGGTGCTTTTTGGAGAGGTTTTGGAAACTTTAGGCTTGGGGCCTAGCAGGAGAAAGTAGGTCATAACATGCTTTTGAAGGTTGTATATAACTGAACCTGGTCCTCTTGCCCACTGCAGTTCTCCTGCCTCCATTAATGTTGTGTCTCAACTGGAGCCCAGAAATAACAAAGCCAAGACTATTGACTGAAACTGTGAGCCAACAGAAATTATCCTTCCTTTTAAGTTGTTTAGCTCAGGTATCACAGTAACAAAAACTAATTCATCCACTTTTTAATTTTTTTGCTGCCACCCTATTTTTATACACTGAAGTTTATTTTCAGCTACCTTATAGCTAGAATTTTCAGAT